ATTTTTTTGAACTGGTGCATTGTAGGTTTTTGAAAGCTGAAACCTGAGCCCACCGTCTCTGTTTAAGGTTGTTTTTGCTTTCTGAACATAGACGGCTTGCTTTTTTTGGTTTTCCTCAGATAGCCATGTTTCTTCTATAGATAAAATGCTAGTGAATGATATTTGCATGGCCGCCACCTTCAGAGCTGCTGAGATCAAAGACAGTGAGAAACCTTGGGTTGGATCCCATAAAACACGACCGTCCTCCCATCCTGAAGCGTTCCAGCTGCTGCTGTCTGGCTATCTCCACCGTTCTCCTCCTAGATGCTTCCTCTGCCTCTCTAAATATGAAAGAAAGAAAGCAGGCCATCTATTTTGAGGCCATTATAATTTTGGTGGGAGGGAGGGGGTCTAATGTTTGCTGTGGCCTGAGGGAAGGCAGATTTAGATGGACTTGGCACGCTCAGACTGGTGTGCAGCCGAATCCCACCACGCCTACCCTCCTCTCCTCGCCTCCATTGAGTCAGAGGTTGGGGTTTGCCAGAGGCTAGTATAATGGTTCCCAGTGTCTGGAGAGATTAAAGGCCAGAGCTGCATTGTTCAAATGCCCCGAGATTAGTTTCCAGGGAGACGGGTTTCAGCGCCCAGCAGTTTTTTTTTTAATGCTTCATGACTGTTTGCCCCTTCCCTTTTATTTGCATGGTTCAGCTTGAATGTTTTTAATGAAGTGATGTTCCTGCCTCGTCTTAACCGCGGCTGAACTTCAAACAGAAACTTGAAAGAGTCGTCTTGTCCATCCTAAGTCAATATTTCTTCCTGCACCATCTGTCAAGGAGAGAGAATCCAGTGCAAAGGGTATCATATGACATCCTCTGAGCGCTCTAATCATCTTTAACTGACAATGGCAGCTTTTTGATGGATTTGCCTTTTAGATATATTCCAGAAATACGACTCCAGGGATACAAGCGTCTGTCAGATAGATGGATGGATGGATTACCGTGATCTTTTTTTATTCTTTTACTTTTGCCATCATGCTCCCTAGAGGGTGGGCTTAGACGAGAGCAATGCGGTGAAGTCGTAAAGATGAAATGTGAGAAGTTAGACCTAACAGGGTTTACAGGCATTAGAAAGGAGACGGCGACGGCGGCGGCGGCGCTGCGTTCTGGCGTATGAAGTAAAGGAGGCAGCAGGACGGGCCTTAAGGCTTTCTAACAATAGTTTGTCAGGAAGAAAAAGTTCATGCGAACATGTAGCTTTGAAAAACATGTTTCTGATCCCCCTTAAGGCTGCATCTTTATATCCATTTATCTCTAATCACGAACGCAGCCGTGACAGGGGTCCTTTATGTGTACTTGTGCTTTCTGGTGAAACGTCATCATCCTCAGCCCTAGCACTGTTCCAATTCACAAGAACAGCAGACCGAGAACAAAGTCCCCGGATGTTGTTCTGGCCCCTCCCTCTTTACCCAGCATGCATCACAGCAGACATGTCCGTTCTCCAGACTGACAGCTGTCCCAGCATGCACTGCGGCAGCAGCAGCTTCCAGGTTAGCGCTCACAGAGCTCAGAGTATTAAGTTCTGTTGCCGTTGTTCAATAAAAGTACGTTTTAAGATCATTCGAGGCGAGAAAATTATACTTTAAGCTTCACTATATGGAACATTTACTGATTTAATGCATAATTTTTTAAATAATTTTCCAAAGTTGAGAGGACAGTGGAAACCAAAGGACCTCAGAGGGTAACAGCAGCCAGGGCTAACGGTAGCCCATTTGCAGCGGCCAGGGCTAACGTTAGCCCGTCTGCAGCGGCCAGGGCTAACGGTAGCCCGTCTGCCAGCGGCCAGGGCTAACGGTAGCCCATTTGCAGC